GGGTGCGGTTGAAAGACAGTAGTAAGAAGAAGCCAAGGAGTAGCGGTAGAAAGGCTGCAGAAACAGTTAGGAGCTCCGAGGAGGGGGCAAAGGAGGTGAGGGGGTGGGAGTAGAAAGTGAAGATGAAAGCAGACGACAGAAAGTTGTTAGAAAGCAGGAAAGGATGTGAAAGGAGACAATTTTAGAGAAGAAAACTTTCCGTTGCTATCCGGATTCGAACTCGGGACCTACTGAATGAGAGGCGAACACCTTAACCTCTCGACCGTGAGAGCCCCCTTAGTACATTTGAACAGCTGACTGACAATTAACAATATAGAGATACCTGTCTCTTTGAGATGCGATAGACATACGTATACAATACTTATATCTTATCTTTCGCTGAAATGAAATAAGAAAAGATAAAATAAGATATTTGTACAATACACATATATCTTTTTCTTTCTATGACATGAAATAAGAGAAGACTGAATAACGTAACACATGTAACTGATCTTTCATTGGAAGAGATGGGGTAGCCTGCTTTTATCCGCAACTGTGTGTAGAACCCACATAAACATCCACATACATTACACACTGAAACACATACTTTCTCAAGCATGCTGAAGGTATCAGAATCATTGAAACAGAGAAATTTGCTTGTGCCTGCTCTCGTCGAAGGTGATGCACTGCCCCCTCGAAAAGCGAAAGGAAGTAAAGGAAAACAGAACAAAAACTTGACGACCTTCCAGTCAGGACAGTCCCTCCTCTATTAATAATTAGATAGACAACCAACCCACTCAGGCTTGAACCTGGACTAGCAATAAGGAGATAGTGAGTAAACAATTAGGCCACCCACACCTACTGCCATGAAAACAAACCAATTCAAGATAACCTGGAAATGCATAATTGGGACTGAAAGAAAGGGGTAGTCATATGGCACGCCGCAATGACATAATTGTGCTGGTAAAAAATTACCCTGGAACAACATGGACATCATAAAAATATATGCAGAAGAAAATTTTTTTTTGCAAAAACAAAACTACTGGAACTAAAAAAGATATGTCTATGAAGCTATGAAGATAAAAAAATTAAAAAAACAAAAACAAAAACCAAACAAAAAACAAGCAAGAAAGTCAATGAATTTTGAGTATCAATATTTCCCTCCAAGAGTAACTGACCGTCATTGTACTAAATATGAATGTTTTACTTTACCATCAACACAGTTTTGACCATTCAGGAGGGGGGGGGGGGGGGGCTGCTTTGACCCTGCCTATCAGGGCCAACTTGAGCTCGGTGGGATACAGCATCACAACAGACAAATGAAGATATTTGATAAAAATGGCTTCCCAACACGAGAATAGAACTCATGTCTTCTGCGAGTAACGGCGAAGAGCCTGTTACACCACATACACCAGTGATTACTGGTCAGTGCTATTACTATTGTCATCCATCATCATAATAAAATTCAAATCCAAACATATGTCATATATCTATTATACTGACACTGATATGCATGTTCATATAACCACAGTGTATGACGGAGTCTTACACTAAACAGTCGATTTTTATTTGTACTCACATATACATTATATATGTGTGAGGTGGCGTGATGAAATCAGGCGCTCGTCAAAACAATGAAAGTGAAGAAACTGGCATTTGTCCGGAGGTTTGGGAATTTTAACTGAATTTTTGTTTTTTGGCTCAATACCTTACTGGGCATAAAAGAACACATTTCTGTGTGGATTGTACTGTGGATTGTACTGAAAAACTTCCATTAAAGGCATAAAAAATGTAAATTTTCTGATTCCACGGACTCTCAAATTAAGGGAATATCTAAAGTTTGGCGGCCATTTTCTCGCTAATTTTACCTCTGGAACCAGGCGACCCCCACCTCCTTCAATCATAAATATCTCGACTTGTATTCAAGATAAATGGATACATTTTTCATCGAAAGCAAGACAAATGAAAAAGCTTCAAAACGATATCTATAACTCCACATGCCCTAAATCGACGAGCCCCTGAGTAAACTGCGTCATGACACATATACATATATATTACATATATATTTTTGTATGTGCATCTGTACATTAAACAGCACAGATGGTGAAACATGTGAATGAAAATCAATGCTCAAAGGGGGCACAACAATGAGAACCATGTCATATTGACACAGAGCAGTTATTTATGATTGTCAATAGATACGTATCCTGGGCCAGCTGTTAAAGAGTACGAAGCCCAAAACTCGGAGGGTTGTTAAGATTGCGGTTTCTTCATCTGTGGTATCGGCTGCATGTGCTCATGAAATATTTTGTCGAAATTCAATTTCTAAATGCAGAAAAAGCCACGAAAAACAAATAATGCAGGTACAATTGTTAAAAGAATGAATCAGTTTTTTCCTTACTCCAGTAATATTTCGCTCTGTGGGCTCAGTACATTTAAGCAGCATGCCGGTGATAACGTCAAACAAAGCATTTTAAAGTAGGCACATTTTAAACAAAATCATCCCCTAAAGTTGTAACAGTGTGTAAAAGTAAAATGTAACCTGGATATCTCCATGCAACACTACAATTACAGGGGGGGGTTATACATTTCTCTTACAATAATGAGCACACACATGGAGTAGTTTTTTAGCTCAAGCCTCATACAACTTTGACATGAATTTAGATACTTAAAGAAACAGATTTCTAAAGTTCATCTCCAAAGTATGACATTTTCTTTTCAAGTTGTTTTACACTCCCATCCACACAATTCAGACTATTTAGGAGGTGGGCTGATGATAAAGTTGTTTTTTTCAGTTCATGCCAATTTGATGAGCCATAAAAGGTTTCTGGATTTATTGGGACAATACAGCAGCAGTAACTCTAAAGACAAACCAGATCTTAAATGGAAATGATAGAGAAAGTTAACAGTACAGGTGCCTCTACAATAATAAATATAATATCTATCGAAATTCTAAAGTCCTTGAATCTATATTTATATTCCTTTCATCAATTTAAAATCTACACTCAGATTTTAAACTCCCCTTTCTTTGATGACCAAGGAAGAGATGGACAAATCCGAGAGTACATGTCATTCTTTTGACCGGATGCACAATCACAATGATCAGCTTTGGTGTTTTCCCACATCACTCGAAAGTGTCCACGACTTCAAACAACTAGTTATACGTTTAAATATAAAGTCAAATTTGCTCCTATGAACACCTATCCGAAATAATCACCAGTACAAATGACCACATCCCACAACAAAACATGCATTTTTTCTATATCAAAATGACACTGTCCAAAAGGACCGCTTGACTAAGACTAAGATCACCACTTTTTTCCTGGACAATGGGTGGTTGTCTTGGACAGGTTTGACTGTATATGTATACATTCATATACATAGGTATATATAATCATCGTTGTAACAAAAATGAGCAAGTTTGCTTGGCCTGATTTTCACAGCATGAGGGGAAAAAATAGAGCTTTTAATTTTCTTAAAACATTGATATATCTATATATACATACATAAAAAAGTCTAGTGGCAGTTCAAGAGAGATATCATAAAAATATTGTGTTATTGAAAGTCTCATTAAAAGGCTTTCTATAATTAAAAAATACAATGTCGGCAAAAAAAAGACATATTTCATCATTTTTTGCAAAAAAATGTTATGTGCTACAATGAGGACAAAACAAATTACACATTAGAATTTCCTCCGCCTCTTGGCCATGAAAATCTGTGCAATAGTCAGGCTCTTTATGATACCAAAAGGAAGCTACTTTCTCTTCCTATAGTGACTGTAGACAACGACTTCACTTTAATCAACAATTGACTGGCGAGGCGGAAGAAACAAAAAATGGAGCCACATTGTTCTTGAAAGATTTCCAAGACTTATACAGGAATGCCAACAAAAGAAATCAAGACCCAACAGACACTGCTGGGGACATGTACAAACACCCCCCCCCCTGCACAACATTCTGAAACATCCAACACTTGCAGAAACTCCTAGAGATGTGACGATACCCCCCAAAGAACAGTCAGTAAAACAGAGAAGTTTGCAGACTCCATTTCACTTTGTATAAACATCTGCACTGGTGTGATGTGTGTTTGGTAACTAATACAATACTGTGCACGTGTGTGCAAGCGCGTGCGCGCAGTGTGTGTGTGTGTGTGTCTCTGCGTGTGTGTGTGTGTGCATGCAAGTACACACGCCTGTATGAATATACATACATGCATGTACGCATGCCATTGTAACCCAAGTTTCCCCACTGGGATCAATAAAGTGAAGTTCATTCATTCCTTTATTTACACTCACAACAAGTATCACGGACTCGATTAACACTCCATAAGGCATAAGGCACTTCCCTACGTATCTTTTTCAGATTGGTAGGCAACACACACAAATATATTTCTCTGCACTGAAAAATAAAGGGCATTTGTATGTAAATAGACAATGATTAATGACAGTTGAACCAGCTCTAAAGACTACCCGTCCTAAACAATCACCAATACAAACAACCACTTCCCATTCCTTGGATTTTTTCCGTCGTACAATGATATTGTCTTAGAGGACCAACTCTCTAAGATGACCACTTTTCTTCTCAACAATGGGTGACTGTCTTGGACAGGTTCAGTTGTATCTTTAAATCTCAGACTCAACACTTGTTCTTAGGCAACTGTCTAGACCCACTCGTTTCCTAGTCAGTTCCCCCCCCCCCCCCCCGAGTTGAATCATTTGTCTGCTAATAAGGTATGGGTCAACATGTCTGTCTTCATAAACAGCTGTAGAAGAGGCACCAAAGACACCCACAGAAAGAAAAATGTGACATCAAATGCTCGTGTTAGATGAGAGACTCATCCAGTTTTCCCTCAGTCCTACCTCTATCGGGGCTGAGGGGGACTTGGGTTCTTCTCACTGCTAATCATTTGACAAGCTGTTTCGGTTAAAACTTTGGACTGCAATATAATATTTACTTGATAGCACTAAGTCTCTGTCAAGGAAAAGAGAATTTAGAAAACCACAAAATCCATCCTTCATAAACAACCCTCCCCCCCCCCCCCCACCCCTTAAAAAAAAAAGATCAATGTGGCTGCCTTGGTGGTGAAAGTGTTTCAAGCTTTCTCGAGCAAGTGCGAGTAATGGCTGTGGCATTAAAAAAACTTTTTCATAACAGGCTTTAAAGAATCACAAAACTCTTTTAGCTTCTGTGATGCCACATAATTAGAGAAATGAGAAAATGCACACATTCCGTTTTCATCTGTTCGCCCCCGGCAAAATATGGCTTCAGAAGTTACGAGTTGTCCGTTCTTCAGTATCCGGATATAATGGTCTCCCTTGCTTTGCTTCTTGAAAAGCTCAAAGGTAATCGTGGTGGCAAAACGCGGCCACACGTTATTGGAGAGCTCCAGAGCTGTGATGAGTGGGGTCACCGTTGTATCGTGGCCCGAGTACAAGTGGAATGTCGGGTTAGAGCCATTTTGGATGGCAATGGAGAATTCTCTTGAGATGCGAAACAACAACCCGTGCATGAGAGCCTTGGCAAACTTCTTGTACTTGAGGTTCTGTCCCAGGCACTTGGTCTTCGCGTCGATGAGTCTCCACACGGTCTCGTACGCTTTAGCTGTGATGCATGTGCCATTGCTGTTACACGGCAGAGGAATCGAATGGCACGCCAGGTGGCTGAGACCGTCCATAAGGGAAGAAGGGCCAGGAATGTTCTGCCCTCGTAAATGCAGTACCTCATCAACGTGTTTCTTAAGCGCGGTGTAAAGTTTCGTGTCGGCCGCCGACATCTTGCACTCCCGCTCCGCCTGAGAGCGAAACATTTCCAACCCCGGGCAGCGACACGCTCCATGGAACACGCGGTCCTCGCAGAACTCCAGGCTGCCTGAGCGGAACAGATTGAGGCGTTTCAAGTCAAACTGCGGAAGGAGCCCGTAGGAGAATGCGATGGCGCTCTGAAAGGTGCGGGAGACCTCTGTGGTGTGTACCAAGTAGCGCTGCTCCCAATTGCTCTCGTCAAAGAGGCGGTGCTGATGCATGTAGCGCTCACTGTACAACATCCCGTTCATGATGTGCTGCACTGCCCCCTGACCAGTCAGCTGACCCTCTCCGCAGATCTTGTGCGACGGGTACAGCGCCCATCTGCTCAGGGAAAACAGAAATGGCAACGTTCAGATTTGGAATGCGTCAATGAAAAATAAAAGGACCAATTCCCAAGACCCGTAAGTAAATTTATTTATGTATTTTTGTGGCACTTAGTTTATTTCTCACTCCCATTTCTACAATGTTACCATAAGACAAACAGTTTCCCCTCTTAACAAAGCATTGACATCTTTCATTCAAAACACCTACCAAAATCAGTCTACGAACTATTTCATGTTCTTTGAAAAATAAATTTTTCTCTAAGAAAAGTTTAAAAAAAAATCATTTTCTTTTTTAGCTTTACAAAACACTTCCCAGACTAAAAATAAAAACAATAAATAAACAAAACATGAACATTTTCATGTCATAAGAAAGAAATGTTGCAAGATCACTTTCAAATGCTTCTTTTCCAGGCCTTCCGAAATCATTCACTGACAGTGAAACTATGAAATAAAATAGGCTGTCCAAATACACCACTGTGTTTTCTGGATAAATGCCCACCACTGTCGAATGGTACACTGAAAAAAGTTACATTCAATTTTTGGCATAACATTTTTGAAAATGAATGAAAAGATTCCTCCTGTCACAGCACCATCAACATGAGACATTCTAAACAAACCTCTTTCATTATCGATACTTATAAGTGAAATCATGGCATTACTTAAGAGAACATTTGAAAATATCATAAACAAAAACTCACGTGCATGGAATCAAAATGGGGCAGTGAGAAATAAGACGAGCCAGTATGTGATTTTCTGTCCTCTGGTATTTGCTTATTATTATAGGAACATTAAAAAAAATTATAGTGATTTACAATTTGGAGTAATATATCATTCTCTACAACAAAGGTCATCAATCTACAACCCACAGGCCAGATCTGACCCACCAGGTCAGTTCGTCTGGCCCAACGCCAAGTGGAAAAAAAACAACTTGGAAGATGAGCTTGTAGCTTGCTAGGGACTTGGTCACCAAAATGATCTATAATTTCATTCAACTCTACAGGACAAATTAAACTTGCTTTAATAGACTCATGCCTTTTAGCTATTGTATCACACTTTTTCTCAGCTTTAACTCCTTATCTCCAGAAAGCCACTCCAAGCGGCTTGCAGTTGGAACAGCTGTGCCAGTGAGCCACTAGCAGCGGCTTGGGCATATTTCTTTATGACGGCTTCTAGATCAGATTATTTTTCAGCAAATTGCCGAAAACAGGTCTCTTTCACCAGGATTTCGTTCATTGGATCAACGAACTATCAAAATAAGTTCACAGATAAGACAAATTTGGTGACGTATATGTCAAATTTAGATTTTGTACCAAAAAAGGGCCCCCGATTGGGGAGGGGGGGGGGAGGAGGAGGAGGGAACTGAAAATGAAATTCCAGGCTTTTTCCCATTTTCCTGGTTGAGAGGGAACCCAGTTGTAAACACTGTTGACTGTTTGGAATTTCTTCCTCACCATTCTACGCCATTATGTGTTTCTTGTCAAGATTTTCCAAGTGAGTCAGATTATTTTTTATTCCTAAGCACATACCACCAAATGTGTCAGACCACCAAATTGTTGGAAACATTTGGCCGTAATTGCTCATCACAGACCTGTTAAAAGTGCTGTCCCGAGGCAGCTGGTCACTGGAGGCTGCCAGGACGTGAGCGAAACTGGCGACCTTGGGCAGGTGCAAGTACTGATCAGCGTCCAGCAGACAGCTCAGATCAGACCTGTCTAGCCCCGGCAGGCGAAAGATGGGTGATCGGTCACCATGGCGGATCACGGTGTGCACGTTGAGGAGTTGGTAATCCTTTGGCGCCAGACCTTGACAACCAAGAGTGAGTGTGAGTAAACAAAGCTTATTGAGATAAACAACCAGCCATTTAAGGCTGGGAAAAAGCAAAAGGAAAAAATCAAAACAGATAGACATAAACCACAGTCAGGAAAGTATAAAGTTAAGTAGTAGGGCCTACTAGTGGTACCCTCCACCTACCCACAAATCCAGGGAGAATGTTCTCAAAGTGAGCAAGAAAGCCTTTTGCGTCAGTCCAATCACCTACATTAAGAGTCAAGGGCAAATTGGTGGACACCTGAAGGGGGGAACCACGATAAAACTGAAAAAAATGTTATTGTAGACGTTTTATGCCTCCGCCGACACACTCCAGATCATTTAGGAGGTGGGCTGCTTTGAACCTGCCTGTAAGGGTAAACCTTGGCTAAAAGGGATTCATGGTCCAAGTAGAGAGATAGAGATACCTGATTTTAAAAAAATCCTCCCTGCACAGGAATTGAGCTCACATCTTCTGTGTACGATGGTGCGAGCCGAACTATAACAGTCAATAAACAGTAGAGTACACTTAAACTGAAATCTGCAGGATCACTAGATGTTCTTCAGTTTAGCCAGGTTTTCGGTTCAGAGAAGTTGATCAAACAGAAGAAAGTAGGGGGCTCTCGTGGTATGGTTTTTACCTCTCAGCCAAAAGATCCTGGGATTGAATTCTGCCAGTGATGAAAAAATGTTCAACTTTGTTCTCCTTTCCTGTTCTCTAGACATGTTCTGCCAACTGCTTTCCTCTCCTCCATCTCTCCCATCCCCCGCTCCCTCTCTGCTCTTCTCTACCTTATGCTTGCCTCTTTCTACTGCTATTATTTTATCTTTCATACTTCTGTCTTTCAGCCACATTCTGATCTTAGGGTAGGTAAGATGGAAGACCTGGCCTTCTCCGATAAGGGTGACAAATCTTGGAGGTCCAGTGTGCAGTTCAGTTGCCCACGTTTAAGATAACTTGGGGGTCCTAACATCAAGAAAAATAGGCTTCAGCTGCCAGCCACCAATAATTTAAAATTAATTCCAACCAAAACTGAAAATACTCTGGTCAGTATAAAAAATATAGAGTACCCTCAAAATTGGAATGTGGCTGCCTCAAGGCAAGGAGCCCTACAGAGTAGAAAAAAATGGTCATATGCATTAAAATCAGTTGCACTGCAGGTTGAAGAACCAGCAGTCAACTACCTTTGAGGTCTAGCACGGGAACACAAAGAAGAAGAAGAAAAAGACCCCCCAAAATCTGGGATACTTTTTGTCTGTTTAGGTTTATTCCTTTTTTCTGATTAACTTTGTTCAGTCTACCCGGACTCCACTGTATAACATAACAGTCACACAAAACACAAGATTTTGTTGGTTGCCATGGAGGAGTCCTCAAGTTTTCTTTTCTTTTTTAAACCTTAGATTAACGGTACTTTCTGGAGGACACACCACAGAGACTACTCATCTATAATTAATAATGTGAGCAATTATCTCCGTTTCAAGGAAAGAAGATAAGAGAATTGATATCCAAATCACCACTAATAACAATGGTATTGGGACACAAAAGACAATGTGACCACATGGCCCGCACAAACAAACAAACCAGGCCCTTTCTGCACCTTCTAGTAAGCATCCGTAGTTTTTCAATTCAGTAAAAAAATTTTGCTAAACAATGTATGAAAAAAACCACCCACACTGTCAACAAGAAAAGAAAATACTTTTACACTAGCTGAAATGGATTATATTTTTCGGGCATAAACAAAAACAAAATGGTCGGAAATATTCTTCTGTAGATAAACATTCCGTTATAATGTGTGATCTGTGAAACATGTACATGTAAAATTCCTCACCTTGTTGTGCAACGCTCATATCATGTGGCAGGTTGCAGTACTCTGACATTCGTTTGACCATCAAAGGAGGGCGGGTATCTGAATCACATATAAAATGACAGTGAACAAAATGAAGTCTGCTTGGGTTTCATTCAGTTTTATAATAATCTTCTCTTACATTGCAAGACCAATGACTTGTCAGTAACAGAGAACTTCTCTGCCAGAAAAATTGAAAAGTACATTCGAAACTGTCTTAAGACGGCCACCCATTGTATAGAAGAAAAGTGATTGTCTTACGTGTCATTATAATGTAAAAATAGGCAAAGGAAGAAACAGAAGTGGCTGTTTGTACATGTGATTTTCTTACACAGGTGGCCTTTAGAGCAGGTCGAAAAACAAAAAAACAGCCACTGTAATAAGAAATTAATTTGGAAAAACGATAAATGTTTAAAAAGCATACATCTGCTTCATGAATTCATCTAACACTGTATCAATTTTTTTCCGACTTTGAAACTGAAGATTTATTGCTGTGTAATACTGGGGACTATATTTCGTTTAAAATATCAAACAACACCTTTCCCCTGTTTGATGAAACATACGTGGCTGTTATATATAAAGTTCTGTTCAGCTTTCATACAAGGTAAATGTCCTGCTACACGCAAATACAAACAGAATACAGTCAAACCTGTCCAAGACAACCATTCATTGTTGACAAGATCTGATACAGGTGGTCGTCATGAACAGTCATTGTGACATAATGTAAAAAAAGGAAGGAGAGAAATGGGAAGTGTTCAATTGTATCTTGCAGGTTCGACTGTATCTTGCACTTGAAGATAGACCCCCACACAGTGCAGTTTTCAGAAGACAAATTTGTTTGCTTGACGCAATTGTTTGGAGGGTACCAGCTTTTGAGTATACCTGTGTCTGAGTGCTCGTGAACAAGCTTGCGTGCATACATGAAATCATATGCCTTGGTATGCGTTGTCAGAAAAGAGCTTGTGTGTGTGAGTGTGTTAATACATGAGCGATTTTTTTTTGCGATTGCGAGAGCGTATAGTGTTCATGTGTGTGCGCATGTGTGTGTGTGTGTTTGAATATGTGTGTGTGTGTGTGTGTGCCTGTGTGTGTATGATGGAGTGTGTGTGTGTGTGTGTGTGTTTGTGAGTGTGTGTTTGAATACGTGTGTGTGTTTGTGCG